TCTCAATCCCTCATATGAAACCGGTGGGTAATCCTTGAATTATCATAAGCTTAAAGTTTATTAAGGGAGTGTAAAGAAATTTGCTTTGACACAAGTATTGTCTAATCAATGACACACTTGAGAGCTAATAATGTGTGCACACTAGCATATCCATTGCATGACATCTGTATCGTGCTGCTGAATATTTTGCTCAACCATTCTGGAAAGTGACATTTTCGTGTCCTGAATGACAGTGCAGTCTTGTTTATATGGCATTCCAAGCCAAAATGCTATTTGCTACAAATCAAGGTCTTGACTGTCAAGAGGCTGCCTGTTTTGTATTTGCATGATCTAAGCTAATTGTTCTTTTCCTTCTGCTTTGTGAACTGGTATTTCAGTCTTTTGGTTTAAGAATAGTTAAGTCGGATAAAGGGAAGTGAGCTTAAGTAAAATACGTATCAATCTACGTTGCTGTTCTGCAAATAATTCTGGGAAATGTCTTGGTAGGGAGCAGAGAGTGAGTTTTTAATTTTCATCTTTGGATTTCCATTATGCATGCCACTCCTATGCCACAATGCTCTATATAATTAAGAACTGGCCATATGTTCCATAGCGATACAGCCTGTAATCATTGGTCCGGATCTGCAATTCTCATTTAACCTAGGTTAAAACAGAAGTAGAAGTTGGGTTACTTTTTATCTTCTTCCACTCAATTCCAGTTCAATTTCTTTTGAACTACTATAAGATGTTTGTGCAATGTTGTCACTGATAATGACACTGGTATGTCACTGGTAATGTGACAATTACTACTTACAAGTAGAAAAGAATGCCTTCCTCATTGAGCCATGCCCTGGGATCCTATCATATGCAGTTGGCCACATAATATGTACAATTTTCTTTTTTTTTTTTTTTTTCCTGTTTATACATTTTGTAGGGACTTCGGTATTTGAAACATATAGTACATTTGGGGGTAAATTAGAGAAAATATCTGTTAGTGCTAATTGAGCCTACCTTTCCCTATTGACTATTTTATGATTTTATAAATATTCAACTCTCTCCTTGATCTCTCCAGTTGTATTTTTGTGTTCTACGTCCCAAACCTGTGGCCATTTTTGTCTTGTGTTCAACAACCCGAATCATGTCTTTGTGAGACTCAAAGAGGTGTGGTGGTTCAACTCACTGCTTTAAGTAGGACTACACCTAAACTGTCTGAGTAGTTTACTTTTAAATTTCTCCCAGAAAGGAAATTTCATGATTTGGCTTACATGTAACTTCCTCTCTTTGAGAAGCTTGCTTTGTCTTCTCCCTGAATAACTTCCTTTCTTCTGTTGTGTTTTGGGCAATTCACTCATTCATTCAATGAATACTGAATAACTTTTGATTAATGTCTGTCTCCCCCCAAGCTGAAAACTTGATGGAGGGTAACATGATTTGTCTTTGTTTACCACTGCACCATCTGTGAATATATATTGTAAGTATTGAACAATTTTTTACCATTGGACAAATACTTTGATAAATAATTTTTGATAACTGCTGCTACTGGTACCTGAATTGAGTCTAAAATTCTTCTTCTGGAAATCAGATTGTCTGCAGTATGACTGTTTGGAACTTTTACAGTGAGTGGTAATACTGTTTTGCATTGTTTGACTAACCTTCTATGTCCTTGTCTTTATCTTTGAAATCTTTTAAAATGAAGATAAAGTACATTTATAATAGAAAGCATAAACTTTATTTTTAAAGAGTAAAATGCTTATATTTAGTTGTAATCAAGCAACTCCTGGTTTCCTCTTAGGGAAAACAGTATCAGCTTTAACCATTTCTTTTTCAGTCAACTTAGTTGCCTTTATGATTCCCTGTAGATCTGATATTAAAAGATTTAAATTGCTGCTGCAGCTTCCTTGCGAGATCTGTTTACATTCTCAATCTCTTTCTAAAGTTGTAGAGTAGGAGGGTAAATTGTATTTGAGTAATACACTGACTAGTACTGAAGAACAATGCACTTTTCTAACCCAGTCCTCACCAAAAGTAGGTAAGTACCAATCAGAATTTATCCTTTCAAAGTCCTGACCTCAG